ATTTGCAACTCTGCTGCCCTCCCCCCAACACCTTTACAAGCAGCCCAATGACTGTGGTCAGGGCACAGTTTCAAATCCCATGAAGAAACTGTTGACCACCTTCATTGTTCTTAATAAAGAACTACCTGTCCTGAGGTTGTCTCAGCTTTCATTTTCACACCACCCTGGTCAATTCCAATCTAATGTTTTCTATCACAGGTGATAAGCAAAAGATTAGCTATCAAGAGCAGGGTGTAACTTTGCACTTTAACCTTCCACAAATGTTAGCATGTTGGTTCAGAACTCACAGCCTCTGAGAGTCCCACAGGCCCAAGGCTGGGAAGAGGAAACTGGAGATAAAGAAAATGCAAATTTCAGTTAACTCTTAAAGCCTCTTAACTGTAAAGGTAGAACTTTCTTTGAAAGGAAAGAGGTACATTTCATTTTCATCTATATTTCTTGGGATGGTAATGTTAATGATCTTTGCTATGGACTTCAAAGGTCTCCCAAATGTAGTAGCTGGGTGTCACTGAACTTTGTTTTGGGGTAATGACCTCTAGACAGCCAAAGGCTTTGGATGGCTGGCAGGTGTAGCTTCTTTCACTAACCAAAAGTACCAAGCAAATTAATTGCGGCTTCATGGATATTATCTTTTAGATAGTTTGAAATATCTATTACTTATTAATTTATTTATATTTATTTATTAATGTCAGGAAGGGGCTTGAGCATGCTATAGCATATATGTGGAGCTCAGAGGACAACTGCAGGGGTCCATTCTTTCCTCCCACCATGCCGATCCCAAGGATTGAATTCAGGTTGTCAGGTTTGGCAGCACATACTTTACCCACTGAGAAATCTCTCCAGCTCTAGATTTCAAGCCATAAGGTCATGAGGACGTGAAGGTAACAAAGGGGAACCCAGTAATGACGGTGAAGTAGTTGAATACCTGGGCCAGGTCATCATTAATGGTTTAATTTGTCAACTTGATTGGATTGAGACATGCCTAGGAAGAGTTTAAGTTCAGAAGGCATTCTGCTTGGGTGGAAAATGGCATTCCCAGAGGTCATAAGTTTGTTCAATGAAAATTCCAGTGTCAGAGATGTGATGCCTCCTTAGAAGATGTTGTCCAGGGATGCCTTTGAGGACCCCAAATCATACAGACTATTGCAACTGCTATTGGTTGCATGACGGAACTTCTCTAAAAACTACCCTCAAAAGAAAGAAAACAGAAAACAAAACCATGTAAATTTTGTGGTGCAGACACACAATCCCAGCTACTCTTGAGCCTGAGGCAAGAGGATCACAAGTCAAGGCCAGCTTGGGCTATAGAGTGAGTGCCAGGCCATCCTGGGAAAGTTAGTCACATTCTCTTTCAAAATTAAAAGTTAAAAGAGGGCTGGAGACACAGTTTTGTGGTAGAACACTTGCCTAGCACCATGAGGTTCAAGGTTCAGTCACCAATTCCACAATAAAAAGTAGGAAAAAGCAGAATCTTATTAAATAGTCACTCACATGGTGAAGACCATGAAACTATTTTCTAGCTTCACTGTTGAGATGGCCTTTGGGGCTGCTTCTGATTACTGAGTTGCAAGCAGAAACAACATGTTTCATGTGTAAGGTGGAACCAGACCTTCCAGAGTTTGCTTTTCTCTTTGGTTTAACAACTGGAAAACTCAAGCTTCTGATGGCCTTGAGTAACAATGTGGCAGGAGTGCTTGGATTAACTCAGGTGGACATGAATCCAAGTGAGGAGGAAGCCATTATTGTGTTAACTCATTGAGCTTTGGGGGATGCCTTCAGAAAAACTGAACTCCCCTGATTTATATAGATATAATGAATAGCTATAGTATACTACAATATTTCTAAAGTTATAATTTCTTTCTACTTTACCTTCCAGTGCAATGAAAATATGTTACATTTACAGGAGAAAGTTTGACATAAGCATGTATCTTAATTTTCACACCAAGCTCCTAAACATCTAGCTGAGTTTAAAGATTTAGTTCAAACAAACATGAAATTTCAATCCTAGTTTGGAAACCTAAAACCTCCAATGAGTCTCTATTTTCCTCACTTTCTCTTTCATGCTAAGAACAAGAACTTTCTTATTCATGACCATCTAACTAACCATGTAGGCTGTGCATACAAGCAGAGTGTAACCTTCCCAGGAAGGGAAGTTCTTTATTCCACCCTCATTATTTTCCCCCCAAATATGGCAATTTTTGCACATTCCTTAGTGAGTATAAAGGCAGAATGGTTCTAATCATAAAAAGTCTGAGTGTGCTGGGTATGGTGGTACATGCCATTAATCCTAGTACTTCGGAGGCAGAGTCAAGCAGATCTTTGTGAGTTGAAGGCCAGCCTAGTCTAAATAGCAAGTTCCTTTGAGAGGAGATTACAGAGAGAGGCCCCATCTTTAAAAAATATGAAGACATTATGAAAGTGACCTATCCCTAGCTAAAAATTTTTTCTCAGTGCATATGAATATCATTATATTTGTGAATGTTTATATATCTCCATCACCATCTACTTACTTTCATTTTCTTTTCTATTGATTTTTTTTTCAACAAGTACAGAAACCAGGTAGGTAGAAGGCTGTTATTTATGATGCCCCTCATGCCCTAAGAAAGGCCAGTTGTACACTCTCAAGAGGTTGTTATAATAACGGCTCATCCTTTGCCATGTAAAGGGCACTAAACACTGTGGCTGCAGTGGAAAGCAAGATACATGGCTTGGTGGAACTTTGCATGGAACTCTTCCTGACACTCAAGTTTATGCCAGTCCAAAGGTGCTGTTTCCCACACTGGATCAACGTTTTCCTGATCTGCAAGCAAAGAGTTCACTAAACCCTCCAAACATCAGTAGCCATGATAACATGTTGGTTTCCATCCAAGTCTAAAAAGTTCTTCTCTTTTGACACTGTCACCTACTACATACCTTTTTCCCTCTTCAAATATAAAATATCTCTTTGATGTACTGATAGAGAATCAAATGCAGAACCCCTTGAGGGTTAAGCAGAACCCCTTGAGGATAAGCAAAAATACACAGAAATGTATCTCTTTGACACTCTTTGCAGTGCCTCTTAATGCCTTCTAGGCTCATCTGTCAATGACTTTGACCTCTTTTCAAGGGCTTTCTAGATATTACAAATATGTCATACTATCTATGCATAGACAGCAGCTTTGATCAAGCTATGTAAATTTATCATCTGTGTGTGACTTCTGAAATTTACAAAATGGAGCACTGAAAACCATCAAGACCACGATGATCATTTCAGAGATATCAATAAATCCAGGTAGTCAAGCACAGTCCAATCTACAAATTTATGATTATTAGTATTCTTTGATACACCACTTCTTCATGAAGACCTGTGGGCTGCCAAGTGTTGTTAATGTCTTTTCTTCCTATTCCTTTTCTGGTCATTGACAGTTTTGAATGGCAGAGATGACTATCTTCTCCTGGCCACAATACCCTTTCTAAGGTAGTCGACTACCTGTTCCCCATGACTACTCCAACACAGGAGTAATGTGTGGGCATTCGTGTCAGATAACTCATGGTTCAAGTCCTGACACTGCTGTTAACAACCAGGGAAAATTCTTTATCCCCTCCAAACTGTACCTTTACCATCCCTCACTGGGGACAATGGTTTCTATCTCACAGAGTTTGGTGGGTTGGAGTAGAACAGTGCAGTGAAACTCCTTTGCAGTGTTTTGGCATCCAATAAATGCATGTCTGTCATTATAATATGCACTAATATTTTAGTTCCTGGAAGTAATGACCAGAAGACCTACCACTGGTACGAATTTATGCAATGAATGCATCTTCATTTAATATTTACCTTGTGGGCCCTAGGAAGAATATTTCTATACCAAAGCCTCTTCAACTGGAATATCATTGCTTCATTGCTACCTCTAGCATGTTTTTTTCCAAAATATACAGAGAACAGTGGAAGTTCAATATGTATTTCAACAAACTTTTTTTAGAAGATAATTCTCTAAGGTAAGCCATGGTGATGATATATTGCTTTCTGAAATCAGTACAATGCTTTAATGTCTAAGTACCTTAAAAATAAACATTATCTTCTCTGAGATGAAATATGCTGTCACTTTAAGTGACCAAAAGTATATTATTCTCAGAATCAAAAGAAGGAGGAGTGCCTGCAGCAGTATTTTCTTGATTACCAGAGGCCCAGAAGACTGTTGGAGGGAGCACTGGTGTTTTGGTTCTTCACTGTTCTTATAGCACTGCCTGTGCATGTTATTATTAACTAATTCTTTAATTTTTACAGGATCTAAATTCTAATTAAAGAATAGAATACCTACGTCACTTGAATTCCAAGTTAGTAATGATTCCTAAGCATGATTCATTTTCTTAAATCAATGTAATGTGAAAGCATCACATAGTGTTTAAGAGCACTACTTGAATTCAAATCCCAGCTCCCTACTTAGTAGCTGTGCATAAGTTGCTTAACCTCTTTGGCCCTTAGTTCTCTCATATGTAACAGGTAAACAGCCATAGCACCTACTTCCCACACTGTTGTCAAGACTAATTTGATCAGTATGTGCACTGTGTACAACATGGTGTTTAGCACATAATGATATTCATTCAGCTTGGTACTGACCTGAAGTACTCAGACAAGCAAAGGAGGAACATAGATTAAACCTTGTCATCTTATAAGCAGTTCAGCAAAGGTAGCCTTGTCTGTGGATTCAACTCTACTTAACGTCAACAGTTCTCGAAACAGCCACAAGAGAGGAAAAAGCCTAACTCAAATTGGAAAGGATGTTTTTCAAACCTCAGATTTTACTTTAAGAAACTCAGGAGGGTATATATCTGATAGGTCACAAACAGCTATCTTGGGAAACCTCACACTGTTAAGACCCCAACCAGTCTTCTGTAGAGCCCAGAAACATCTCTGACACCGGAAGCCGTCTATCCAAATGATGACATAGTCTTGCTTCACATTGTTTTCACTTGCTACATGTAATAATGGTTTCTCAACTCCATATTTTGATTCAAATTACCTGAGTTGGTTGTTATGAATTTCCATGATTTTTCTTTCCAGTTTCTGTGACTGCTTGGGGAAAACTTCAAAGTCACTGACATAATTCTCAGGATGCTCATCAGGATGGTAATCACCAAACTCAGCTATAAGCAGTGAAAAGTGGAAAAAAGAAACAGAAAGTAAAAACACAGTTGGTCCATACAGACTCACTTCTATCATTCAAAGGGAGAGCTTAAAGTGAACTCACCCAGTAAAGTGCATTTGTACTCATGGGGACACAAACTCATTTTCTAGAGATGTATTCTAGTTTCATAGCTCGCTACATGAGCATGGGCACCTATTAAATGCCGCCCCCCACCCCCGACTTCATTTTCTTTATCTGTATATGAAAACAATTTAAGGCATTGTTTGTGATTAGGGCATTCTCGGCATTTGTGGGGCTGAACAGTTTGATTGTTTCAGAGTAGGACCATTCAGACCTGCAATGTTTGTAGTATACTCCCTGTGATCACCAATAATAGCACCTCTCAGAGTTACTCAAAGGATATAAAATTTCAGTTATACACAAGGAGTACATTCAAGAGGTCTATTGTCATTGCCAACTTGGTGAGTATAGTGAATGCTTAAGGTTGATATTTAAGAATCTCAAAGATAATACTTTTAAGAGATCACATAAAAATGATATATGATATAATGTATATGCTAATTAACTGAATTTAGAAATTCTAAAATATATGCATATTTTGAAGTATTGCATTATATATCATACATATACAAAATTTGTCAATTTAAAAAGTTAAAAAATTGAAAATAATTTTTATGGCCTCCTAGTATTTACAAATGTACCTGCTGGATAAGGATTGTGCAATAAGGTTCATTAAATGTAAAAAAATTACAACATAAAGTAACCTGTGGTGATTGGATTGAGAAATGTATCCCACAGATTCATGTACTTGAACACTTGGCTCTCAGTTGGTAGTGCTATTTGGAGGAGTCATGGAATCTCAGTAAGGTGAAGTCTTGCTGGCGGAAGTACATGACTCAAACTTTGAGGGTTTATAGCATGGATCTGTGCTCACGCTCATGCTCTGCTTTCTGTGTGCCACTGAAATGTGATTAGCAAGCTTCCTGGTCTTGCTGCCCATGCCATGTCCCCTGCTGTGATGGACTCTATTCCTCTGGAACTGTAAGCTAAAAAATAAACCTTCTTTTCATAAATAGCTGGTGGTCAGAGTGGTTTATCATAGCAACAGAAAAGTAGCTAATAAGGAACCCGAGGGGGGAATTGTGCTTAAAAGTAAATGAACTGGTCTTCAAATTAAAGAGTGCCTATTTAAGTACAAAATATCATATGGGGGCGGGGCTGGAGAGATGGTTCAAAGGTTAACAGCACTGGCTGCTCTTCCAGAGGACCAGTGATTGATTCCCAGAACCCACATGGCAGCTAACAACCATCTGTAACTCCAGTTTCAGGGGATCTGATACCATCTTCTGACCTCTGAGTGCACTGCATGACACAGGTGCACTTACATACATGCAGGCAATACACTCATACACATAAAATAAAAATAAAAACAAAATAAGGTTTTGGCTGCATTCTAACACAAGGTACCTCTAGTAAATCTTCTAGTGTAAAAACAAGTGCCTGCCCATCTCTGAGGACCGTAAGCACTCGGCAGAGTTTAGTACCTAGCGTTGGCCTGGAAAGCCCAAGGTGACATGTTGCAGTGGGAGTACTTTCTACTGATTCCACAAACCTGGTTAAGAAAGAGTGAGCTGCGAGGTGGAAATACTTCAGGCAGAAACTAGATACGGCCCAGGAGAGTAGACTGAAGATGGTAGTAAAACTACAAGTCAAACAACAAGATTTTGGAGTAGAAAAAAAGAAGTGTGTCTTACATAAAGCCAAAATCTCATGTTCAGCTTGGTAGTTAATATCTACTATTCCTTCACTGTTGAATCATGTAAAGACTCTAAAAGAACAAAACCAGGAGGAAAGAAATGTTTTCTAAAGCTTATTTTAAAACAATTCTTCTTAAAAGAATTCATATTACAGTATTCTTAAAATAGCCTGTGATGAGAAAGGTTTTTTTTTTTTTTTTTTTTTTTTTCGGCCTTTTTGAGACAGGGTCTCCCTGTAGCCCCAGCTGTCCTCGAACTCACTATGTAGACCAGGCTGGCCTTGAACTCACAGAGATTCGCCTGCCTCTGCCTCCCAACTGCTGGGATTAAAAGTGTGAGCCACCACGCCCGGCTTTGAGAAAGGTTTTTAAAAATTAGAAATAATGGGCAAGGTGGTAGAGAGCTTGTCTAGCATGAATGAATCCCTGGGTCCAAGCTCCGGCACTGCATAAAACTGGATGTGGTGGCACATGCCTGCAGTCCCAGCATTTTGGACGAAGAGGCATGAGAATCAGAAGTTTAAAGTCAGCCTCAACTACAAGGTACGTTTTAGCCAGGCCTTGTCTCAAAAAGAAAACAAATAAAGTAGGAACAAAAATTGCTCATAGAGAAAAAACTGATTAATTTGACTATGTTGAAATTGAAATATTTCTGTTGATTAAATGATATTTTAATCAAATTTAAAATGTCAAATTTAAAGAATAATTTTCAAAATATGAAGTTTAAAGGGTTGATGTATAGAATTTCTACTATCTCCCAAGAAACTGGGAAGGATGAGCAATTGAACAATGCTCAGTGTGTATGAAGATGCCATCTACAAAGGAAGAAACGCAAAGATGGTAAAGCTCCTGAGAAACCAGAGATAAGGAAGCTGAAAGAGAGGCCACTTTACATCTAACAGCCTTGGCAAAGAAAGGGAGTTCACAGACACTTGAGGAAACAGAAACTCTTGTGCACCTCTATGGATTCGTCATATATGTAATTCTAGAGAGCAATGTGACAGTATTTAGCTATAAGTATTGTGACTCAGAAATCACTCTTCTAGGCATGTATCCTAGATGTATGTTTGAGATATATGTAAGAAAGGATATGCTCAAGGTTTTGGTTATTTAAAGTGTTGTTTTGAACTTTATTGCAGCTTCAATCAAGATCATCAGAAGTGAGTGGCAATTTTGGTGCTCACTGTTGGTGGGACTGATGAGTAAAATCATGGGAGAATCATTCTACAGGACACTCTCTTGTGGTTAGATGTAACAGAGACAAAATGCTCCAAACAGTATTCTGAGCACAAAAAAGGAGAAAATAAATGAGATATTTAGTCTTGTTTAATTGATGAAATGTAAAAGTATGAAAACATGAATAGTAAACATGTTATATGGTTGTATGCAAAAGCACAGATATACATGGATCCAACTGTCTTTTAGGAAAGACAATAAAGAGTAGTGATGACTACCCACAACAGGACCCTTCACTCCAGGTATAAGTGGGAGCTGGCCATGACCTTAAATACTTGGAGATGGCATACCTTGATATGCCATTTACTGTAGGTGAATGGTCAATACATAACCAATATGAAACTGGGTCATCTTCAGAACCCATGTCAGTTTGTAGAGTGGATGTGATGAATGGTCTTCTTAGTTGAGGACATTTCTCTTTCCAGAGAAACTTGTAAAGTACAATGTACTGGTACTGATAAATACAATTAATAAGTGGCTTGGCAAATGCTGAGAAATTTGGAGAAAAATGTCAAGGAGAGTGCATAAAGTTTCCTGCCATATTGCATATCCTGCTGGTTCCTCTACCAGTTTGGTTTTAACAGTGACTTGGTGAGCCAACAGGTAGGTTTTTGAGAATAAGGATTTCTAGCTATTCCTACCAGGAGGAGATAACTGAAGACCAGCCAGTCTTTTGTTCTTTTAGATTTTCTTTTTTTTTAATAATTCATTTTTATTTTATGCATTTGCATGTATTGCCTACATGTATGTAAGTGCACCTGTGTTATGCAATGCCCACAGAGGTTAGAATAGGGCATCAAATACCCTGGAACTGGAGTTACAGACGCTTGTTAGTCGCCATTTGGGTGCTGGGAATTGAACCTAGGTTCTCTGCAAAAGCATTCAGTGCTTTTAACCGCTGCATCCTCTCTCCAGACCTGACCTTTTAACGATATTTTTTAGCCATTTTAAATTCTTCTGAGATTTGAGATTGTCATATATTCTCAAAAATAACCTGTTATCCAAGGGTTCTTCCCACTCTGTGGTATTCCTTTTCACTCCAGCGATTGTTTCCTTTTCTTTGTGTTTCCTTTGTTTCCAGAAGTTTTTTAATGACGTCCCATTTGTCAATTACTGGCCTTGAGTGAATGGAGCCCAATTTAGAAAGTCCTTCCTGCACCTATATATTATAGGTTACTTCCGAAGTTTTCTTCTCACAGTTCATTAATTCAGATCCTTCATCCACTTGGAGTTGGTTTTAGTACAGGGTGATTGATCTGTCCATATGGACATCAAGTTTTCTCAGCATTATTTGATGAAGAGGTTTTCTTACACCCAGTGTGTATTTTTGTCAAATATCAGGTGGCTGTAATTATATGTATTGATGTTTGGGTCTTGTATTTTGTTCCATTGATCTACATGTCTGTTTTTGTGCCAGTACCATGGTGTTTTTGTGACTATAACTCTGTAATATAGTTTAATATCTGTTACGGAAATCCCACCAGCATTGCTGTTTTTGCTCAGGATTTCTTTGACTATTTGGGATCTTTGGTGTTTCTACAAGAATTTTAGGATTCTTTTAGTTATTTCTGGGAAAAACTGTCATGGAGATTTGGTTGGGGTTGCTTTGTATCTGTAAATTAATGTTGTTAGGATGGTCATTTTCACAATATTAATTCTACCAATTGACAAGCATGGGAGGTTCTATTTCTAATGTCTTCCTCAATCTCTTTCTTCATGGATTTAGTTTTCATTGTAGCTATCTTTCACATCCTTGGATAGTTTATTCCCAGATTAATTTTGAGACTATTCTGAAGGGGACTGTTTCTATCATTTCTTTCTCTGACTGCTTATTATTGACTTGTAAATAGGCTACTGTTTTTTTAAGTTGATTATGCATCCTTCCACTTTGCTGAATGTGTTGATCATTTCTAGAAGTTTCCAGTGAAACTTTGGGGATCTCTGTGTTTTTGTCACTTATAGCCTTTATTATGTTGATGTATGGTCCCATCAGTACTATTCCCTAT